ACGCTATCGTTTTGGAAGCCGAAGAATAGGGCGAGCCAATTGAGGAGGTTCATGTGAGGGAGCCATTGCGCGAACGGCGGCCGACGGAGGTTCCCGACGGGCCGCCCCGCCGCCGCGGCTCGAACCTTTGGGTACCGCAACGACGGATGGTTCGCGAGCAGGTTGTGCACCGGGATTATATTGTACGGCTCCGACTCCGGGTCTCCCGCGGCGCCGCCGGGCCCAGACGCGACGGTGGGGATGGCCGCTGGTGGAGGCTCATGAGAGAGAGAGAGAGAGAGAGAGAGGAGAGAAATGCTTCGAAAGATGCAAATGGGAGAAGAAAGAAACAAAAACGAAAACGGAGAAAACGATCTTAATTCGTTTTCAGATTTTCAAAAAAAGACAAAAACGTTTTTGTTTTCAATTTTTAAAAAATTTTACACTAAACGCATTTTGTTTACCCATTTTTATTTTTTAACCTTGAAAAACGGGAAAAACGGAAACAAAAATGAAACCAAACAGGCCCTAATTTTTTCTTACGGAAGTATATTTGAAAAATCAAGATAACTCATACAACCTCACACCAAAAAAAAAAAAATGCTAATGTTTAACAGTCAACCAATTATGCTAAAATTAACATACGCAAGGAGCATAAATTATATTTCCAAAATAATACTTAAGAACACAAAATAACTTCTCAACATTCAAGCAAGGCTTAGTTTAGTAATGCTGTGGATTTTAAAAAAAGTGCTTTTAGCTGTGCTGAAAGAAAAAGCTGCTGTTCTAAGAAGCAGTTGGGTGTTTGGTAAATTGTAATTATAGTAGCTGTGCTGGTTCCAAAATCAATAAATAGCGTTTGGTAAATTTTAAGGTGGAATTACTGTGGGTATGTAAAATGACCAAAATAGACATGATATGAAATTTAAATATATATAATTATTTTTGGTATTTAAAAATACTTGTTTAACTTTAAAAACACATAATGTTTTGATTTTGAATTTTTTAACAATAAATTTATGATAATTAATTCTCTTTTTTTTTTTTTTTTTTCATTTCTTCATTCACAATATAATTACAACTAAAAGAAGCATTAGTGACAATTACTCAGGGACAGTTGTAGTCTTCGAGTTGTGGAATTATTTTTGGCATAGAACTTTGCCTTCTCAAAAATATCAATTGGCCCCATCGATGCTAATGTTTAACAGTCAACCAATTATGCTAAAATTAACATACGCAAGGAGCATAAATTATATTTCCAAAATAATACTTAAGAACACAAAATAACTTCTCAACATTCAAGCAAGGCTTAGTTTAGTAATGCTGTGGATTTTAAAAAAAGTGCTTTTAGCTGTGCTGAAAGAAAAAGCTGCTGTTCTAAGAAGCAGTTGGGTGTTTGGTAAATTGTAATTATAGTAGCTGTGCTGGTTCCAAAATCAATAAATAGCGTTTGGTAAATTTTAAGGTGGAATTACTGTGGGTATGTAAAATGACCAAAATAGACATGATATGAAATTTAAATATATATAATTATTTTTGGTATTTAAAAATACTTGTTTAACTTTAAAAACACATAATGTTTTGATTTTGAATTTTTTAACAATAAATTTATGATAATTAATTCTTTTTTTTTTTTTTTTTTTCATTTCTTCATTCACAATATAGTAACAACTAAAAGGAGTATTAGTGAGTAATCAATTTGTTGAACAAAAAAGTCATTCTATGTTTAAAAACTGACAGAGTTATTAAAAAAATTAAATCGTGTTTATTAAAACAAAAAAATGTGTCGTATTAGAACCATCTAGAGAATGGAAAAACGAAATGTGTCGCCCTATATAGTGTGCAAAACAACACCAAACATGACTCATATTAAGGGTACCAAAAAATGGAAGAAAATATCAGAAGATAGAACAAAGATACACAGTTATATTATCAACATTACCAAGAAATAACGCCAAGTACATAAAAGAAGATGACACCATTAACAGATTAATTTATTATGAACTTGAATTTCTTGAATTTGCACCATAAATACCTTCAAACAGATAAATTTATTCTTGTGCTGTTATGACTTGTAAGCCCCAATTGCTCGAAGTTTCTATAATATTTAAACTTGAGACCAAAATGGATTGTTTAGAAGGATGTTCAAGAATGTTGAAATGTGATCAATAATAGCACTATTGTAGCAATCACAACTTGCCCACTATTCTAAACTAGAGGGTGTCACCCGGAGCATACAAATGTCTTCTTAGAAACTACCAATAGGAAGTATTTACTTCCTTATAAAGTATCTCAAATGCAACTGATGAATCCCTAATGTAGTTTGGAATGAGACTTCTAAATCTTTCCTGTCCAGTTGTATCCCTGCCCAAAAATCAAATAAAAAGAGTTGTAACTTGCAAGGAAAAGAATTGAAAAGGGCACATTGTAGCATGTTCAACCTTTTCTGTAAATGCTGTTGTATGTTAAAAGACCAATTAGAAACCCTTGTAGCATAAAACAACATAGCAATGACCACATTAGCTGATAAATGTGAAATTTTGACATACTTGAAGTAACATTTTCACTAACAACATCCGGTTCCAACTCCAAACCCGGCTCTAACACTTGTAAATTTTAGTATCATTTGCATTCAGTATCCCATGCAATGGGCTAGTAATTTTAAAGTCAAGTCCTATAAAAACAAAATGCACTGTCCTCAACAAAGGCAAATACTTGTTCAATATTCACAACCATAATCCTAAGTATTTTAACAAAACCTCAATACCATGAAACCAAATTTTCACCTTCAATTCACCAATTGTAAAGACTGACCTTTCTTTCATAGTGACAAGTACGCAATGGCAGCAAATACACCAGCAAATGAAGCCCCACATCCCCAATTGTAAACACTTACCAATGGGCTTCACATGCTACATGGCAAAGCAAAGTGAACCGAAACTGTAAAACCAAATGAGAATAAACTACTTATGGTATGCTGGATGGTTCACAAACACCTGTAACAAAGAGGAAAAGCACTCAAGGGAATAAAGGAAACAAATAGGACTTACATTATATGAATAAACTACTTCTATAAGAAGCCTGCAGATTTCTTACCCAATCGACACCTTCCCTATACTCATGGAAGAAGGCGACCTCTTGCTCTCCTCCAAAGCAAGGCACCTTGATGCGAGATTCCGTGTCAACAACACTTGCAAATTTGATGTCTGCAGCAGTGCCATTAAGATATCTCGGAGAGACAACCATAGCACATTGACCGTGGGAAGCTAGTACAATAGGCAAAGAACCAAATACAAAATACAATCCCTCACACACACACACACACACGTAAATACAAACATATATATCCACACACACACGTAAATACAAACATATATATCCATACACACACCCCACGTATATACCTACAAATACAAACTTAAGTCCTACAAATACACACGTACATACCTACAAACTTAACTCAAATGAAAAGAATTAAGTCGTATTCATTAAGTTTACTACAATTTGATCTCGTACTTCATCCATTTCCAGTGATAGTAAAGCTTCATTCTCTTCTACATTATCGTCATCTGGCTGATTCTCTTCATAAACGAAATCATCTAGATTATCCTCGACCCTTTGAAAATGTAGATCATGCTTACAATGCTTCCTAATGTAGTTATGGAGCACCATTGTAGCAATAACTATTTTCACTTGCTTTGCAAACGCATAATTTGGCATGTCTTTCAAAATTTTCCTTTTTTTCTTCCAGACACCAAATGTACGTTCAATGACACTTCGAAGAGAAGAATGTGCTTGGTTAAATACCTCTTTATAGCCAGTTGGTCGACGACCCATTCAAAATTGTCCTAAATGGTATCGTTATCCTCTATAAGGTCCAAGAAATCCTTTTAATTGTGGATAACCCGCGTCAACTAAATAGTATTTACCTATTGAGATACAAACACAAAGACTTAGTAAATAATAAAACAGAGTTTTCAAGAATATAGAAGAGGTTTTAACCTTCTGGTGGTTTTGGAAACTTCAAACTTGTACGGCGTAGTGCTGCTAAGAATATTCTTGTATCATGAGCACTACCTTCCCAACCTGCATATGCATATGTAAATTTCATATTGAAATCACAGGCGGCCATCACATTTTAGGTTGGCACACGCTTTCTACCAATAAATGAGACTTGCTCTTCTGGTCGTATTATAGCTGGAACGTGTACGCCATCTATTGCACCTATACAGTTCTAAAAAGAAGAAAGTTCTATGTTTAAAATGAATACTTTAAATAAGGAAAGAAGCATATTATGAACTAAGAGAATACCTTAAAATGAGGCATATATCTACAATCCACTAGTATCTCTTGAGGCACTCCACTAAATTCTGGATCATCAGGCTTTATAACATCCATACTCATACGACAGACAATGTCTAGAACATACTCAAAATATCTACTAATTGTTTCATCAGAGTGTTGAAATCGTTCTTGTGTTGAACGATTTCCCGCACCCTGACCTAAAATGAACAAAAACATTCCGACTATTTCAAACGCGGATATATTTCTTGATCCCTGTAATCCGTAGTTACATTGCAAATCATTACATAGGGACATAAATACATCCTTATCCATTCTAAACATTCTATAACTTCTAATTTCATGTCCGCCTAATAATTCCATTACCCACATGTTTCCAGTTTGAGCAGAGTTCATACAAGGATTTTTGTGAATATACTTATTATAATATTGTTCAATGATGTGTGCAGTAACACAAAAAAGTTGTAAACTTAGCTGGGTAATATTATCAGACATCCCAGCTAATAATGAAGAAACCTGCATCTAAACAATGTTCAAATGAAATAATGGAAAATATCAATGTCTGATGGATAAAAATAGAGTACAATATTTAATACAATGTATTCGAAAGCATGGAAAAACAACATTATAGTACATAATTATTATGGTACATAATTAATGAAAGCCACACTAAAATATTACTCATAGTAAAGGAAGACTCAAGGGACACTGAAGAGAATTTAAGAGGATGATCCTAGGCCGTGCTCAAACTTAAGCCAGTTGAGCTGCAACTCAAGTCGTTTCAAAGCAAAAAATGACTCTCTTTTAATCGTGTCTGTGCACAAGTGGATAGCAAAAAAATACAACTCGCTCCCACTCTCTAATCCAGGTAGAGATTCAAGGACTTCAACAAGTCGTGTCATGCTATAATCTGGTCCTTTACTTTGTGCAATGGATGATCCGGTACTAATAGTCTCCACTACGGTGACAAGGCGCTCAATTTGTTGAGACAATTTGGCCGCACCGCCCACTTTTTCCTTGCCTTTCCCTCTTTTGAATTTCTTTTGTCCTTCATCTAGCTCGATTGGATGCTTCTTCTTAGGGTCTTGTGGCATTTCTCTTCCGCTAGGTGCATCTGACGATCCACTACTCTCAAGTTGTTCAATTGGAGATATCATTTCGTTTGCTATTTTATCATCCTCACATGGCAACTGTCCAGATGCGGGTGTCCAAGCATACACCCATATGGCCACAGTATTAGTAAACATCCTATTCAACTTATCCTCAAACTCTGGTTCAATTCCCCGCGTGCGAAACTTCGCTGCGTTAGGATGAATCTGTAAAAATACTTTAATAAATTAAATCTGCCACACACTAAATGTACACACTATCAATAATGTGCAACTTCATTTGTATATTGTTCGTATACCTGCAATTTATTATGCCACCATTCCTCAGATGCATCAATAGTATTCTTTTTATCGTTCCAACCTAAACCAGTTTCCTTCCCAACAAGTTCCTTCCAAAGTTTCCAATCATTCTTCAAAGCATCCCACTTATTCTTCAATTGTGTTCTTTTATACACTCGTTTAGTTGCTTCGTTAAATTTTTGAATTACATTTTCCCATCCAACTTTGTCAAGATGTGTCCCAAGTCGGTGTCCACCTTCAACCTCTTTGATACAGAAATCGCAAAAAAACTGTATTGCCTCGGTATCCCATATCGCTTTACCTTGCGCTGCACTACCCTCCATTTGAACCAAATGATGACTGAAAGTGCTACCACCATTATAAACCCAACGCATATTTATAGATAATAAAAATAACTAAAGAAACTTAAGGCTTTTTTAAGCAAATGATAATGAACAAATAGCTAAGCAATATTTAACCACAAGAGTGTCAACCTCCATTCTTGCTAGTATTGCAATTGAATGGTAAAAACAAATAGAACGGTAAAAATGGCAAATGATCAAACAATTTAAGCTGCAACTAAATAACATAGGCATATCATAACATGGTTTGTAAAAATGTTGATCAGGTCATTGGTTAAGCATATGTGTTCTATTTAGCTAAGCTTATTGGAAATCGAATGAATTGAAATAAGATAGATTAGAAATGAATATACAGATTTGGAATACGAACTATCACCACCGCCTTGTTTTAGGAATGTTTACTCTTGTTTTTTGCTCTTCATATTCTCTATTTGGGATTTTCCGATCTCTTTATGATATTTAATTTTGTTGTGATTTTTGTCCGTATGCTAATATGATGGTATAATTTGGTTATATGCTATTTTTGTGCGTGTGTTTTTGTTTTTGTTTTTTTTTGTTCTTTTTTTTGTTCTTTTCTTTTTTTTTTTTTTTTCAATTTCACGAGTTAATTTAGCGTAATAAGGGTACTAACCTAGTAGATTACTCCTGCGACAACACTCAAGACAACCAATTATGTGTGTTGATTTTCTGAGTTACTATAATAAATTATCAATTGTAATCTAAGAATTGCAAATTCCATAAAGCTATATGGTATGGTTCTCAATCAAGTTTTCCCAACATTCCCAACCTCAATATCCTAGAACTGCAAATTCCATAAAGCTCTAACGAACTCAAGAAGAGAAAGCATACGATCATGTTGAGTGGGAGTTTCTAGATTTCGTTATGGAGAAAAAAGGTTTTGGAGGTAGGTGGAGAAATGATCAAAGGATGTTGTTGGTAAAAATCCACAGTGTACGGGTCGAACATGAATCAAACGAATCACAGGGGTGTGTTTATATCTCTATATAACTCAAACCCCAAGTTTATTGCCTTAATGGTCAGATATCATATTTCACTTTTCAGTTCTTCATACAATATCTCAAACATGTAAATAATGGCCATTCATTCACAAGAATCAGATCTAAGACAACAAATTGATATGATGAAAATCAATCACACATTCATTCAAATAATCAATCAAAGAATCCCAATTTAATTCCACATACTAATAATAAAGATCATGTCTAACTATCTAAAAATCGTGAATAATAAATAAAACAGAAAAATAAAAACTAGGTTTTCAAATTCCAAGAAGAAGGATGAAAAATTAGTCATGTTCTTCTCTCTAACGGTTTTTTTTTAATTTCTTAATGTCTTTCATTTTTTTTTAATTTCATTAACATTGGCAGTTGCATTTCAGATGGTTGGTTCCTAATCTTGACCATTTCTTTTCCGTTTTCCCTGTTTCTTCAATGGCAGCATTACTAACGGAGCCTATGCCCAGATGAACCAAAACACCAGAAACAATTCATATACATTACAGTGAACCGAAACTGCAAAATTTGTCCTATAATCTCAGCTTTTGCACAACTGTTTCTCATCAAGATATTCAGCAATAAAGATCAACATAAGGAAAAGGGTAATGCAGCGATTAGCAATTTCAAGGAACTCAACAAAACTCCAACAGATTTGGAGTATTCTGGAAAAATAAATTTACGAGATCAAATGGCAGATTTTGTACAAAATTTTGTACAAAATCTGGAAACCCAAATCGACATTCGAAACCACCAACACTAAATCAACATTCAAAACCCAAATTTCATCAAGCCATACACCAAATCGACATTAAAAAAAAAAGTTCAATCGAGCACTTACAAATGTAGAGATTGCGAGCTTCAACCAGATCCGCCGGTCCTAGCCAGCGATGAACAGAGATTTTGGGGACTCCACCGCCGACAATCGAAGGAGATAAACGGAGAGAGGGAGTCCGAGAGAGAGAAGAAAAATAAACTGAGGGAGAGAGCTTTGGCTGAGAGAGCGAAGGTTGAGGCTGAGGGAGGGTGAGGCGAGAGAGCACGAGAGGAGGCTGAGAGGCTGAGGCAAGAGAAGCGAAGGTTGAGAGGCTGAGAGTTTTAGGGGGAGGGGCTGAGGAGAAGTGTGCACGAGGACGATGGAGAGATCGGGTTATTTTGGGAATAACCAATATTTCATTAATGGCTCCGTTTAGCTTCCCGCAGAATCTGAAATCAGAAGCAGCAAATGAGCTACTCTGATTTCAGATGAAAAATAGCTTCTAGATTTTTTAAGAATCTATTTTTATGTGTTTACCAAACACATTTCAAACTTTAGCTGAAAAAAAAGTGCTTTTAGCTTCCCAAAAGCATTACCAAACAGAGCCAATAATAACTTCTCAAGAAAAGACGAATCACAAATCAGAAGTTCCGAGGGAAAAAAAATACAACCGAAATAAAAAAAATGCACATGTATGTGATGACGGCAAACAAAACCACCAAAATAGGTACTAAAAGTAAAAACGACCAAATTTTAAAGATTATTTATCAAAATTAACTTTTAATTTTGTATTGATTTAGCTTTTAAATTTTAGATTTTCAAATTTTGATCTCTCATTTTTATAAATTTTATCAAAGATTTAATACTTAATTAATAAAAAAATTTAAACTAAAATAAAATAAAAACTCAAAAATCATGAGAAATTTTAAAAGTCAAAAGTCAAGAATCAAATTAAATTAATGTGAAATCTCAAGAATCATATGCGAAATTAGGTCCCGTTCACTTCACCAATTCGAGTTTAGAATTCGAGTTTTGTTACAGTAAAAAGCTCTCACAAACAATCACATCTAACTTTTTTACTACAGTAAAAAACTCTCACATAAAATCACATCTCAACTCGAATTACAAACTCGAATCAGCGAAGTGAACGGAACCTTAACCTCTCTCCTTATGTTTGTGGGACCCACTACACAGCCGTACCCCATTTCCTCAGCCCTAAATCTAAACTCAACTCAACCCGCCGCAGCTTCTCTCACAACCCCCTCTCTCTCCTTCCATCAAACTTAGATGGGTTTCTACCCCCCTCTCTCTCTACCTTGCCCATATCCGTCGCGTTTGTTTTTTTCCTTGGTGTGAGGTACAGATTTCGTTTGATCTGCAGGCTATTTTTTATGTTATTTATCATTATTACAATTATTTTTTTGTTTCTAAGATTTTCTACGAATTTTTTTAACCCTTAAAATCTCTCTATTCCAAATGCAGCACTTGTTTCGGTTTGGTCTTTATTAAAACTCTGATGGAGGCTGCATTCCTCGTAGACGATGATGAATATGAAGACAGACAAATGGATTTGTCTGCCAAGACTTGTCTTCAAATTCCACTACAAATAGGTATGTCATGCTTTGAAAATGTTTCATCGTTATTTTTCTTTTTTTCACATTACTCAACAATTTTTTCAGAAAATGGAATCCATCTCTTAATAACGTTTCTACCACTTTATTCTTTTTTTGGGCCCCTTTTTTGGTTCCAAAACAGTAGAAAATTGTGCGTGTATATATGTGTGTGTGTGCACCTTCATGCTTTCTATTTTTTCTTTTTTTATTCCTGATAAGCTGGGCCTATTCAGAACATTCGTGATTGTCCTTAGCACTCTATCATTGTCCCTTTTAAAGTTTCATACTTGAGTAATAACCGGATCTTGAGGAACAGTAGTAATTTGAGTGTGAGGGGTTTCTCCAACAATGGTAGGAGTGACCGGCGTGTGAGGAGCTTCCCCAACAATGGAAGGAGCAACCGGATCTCGAGGAGTGATCCTAAACACCGAGCGAATGCCCCTTTAGTACGTTAGTAGGGTACGCTCACGTACAATGGCAGGAGCAACCGGCTTGTGAGGAGCTTCTCCAACAATGGAAGGAGCAACCGGATCTCGAGGAGTGATTCTAAACACCGAACTGACAAAAACAACTGGATCTAGAGGAGTTTAGTAATTAACAGAAGCAACTGGATCTAGAGGAGTGATTTTTTAGTAATTGACAGAAACAATTGGATCTTGAGGACTGTGAGGAGCAACCGGATCATGATCAACTTCACCATCACCTGTCCTAACAAAGTCTCCTACTCCAAAATAAAAATAAAAAATATTTTTTAAAGCATGTAATGTAATAAGCAATAATAAAACTGTTACAAATGGATTCTTAAGTGTTTACCTTGTATTATTAAATATTGTCATCGATTTGTCCAACTCTCAAAGAAGCGCGCATATTTTTTGTGAGTGCGTCAATCCTTATTTTTATTAACACTTAGGTTAATTAATCTGATTGGCCGCACGGGAGCAAATTCGGGAACTTGTGCCTCATTAAGGCCTAATTGCCTTGGGCTCTTTTCAGGCATATGTTATGCTACGGTTACAAAGCAAATGTAGGGAACTCGAGCAAACCTCATATCAAGTTGTTCCCTATCTTCTTCTCCAATTCATTCATTAATTCTCGTATGCGGTTCCCATTCAATCTACAAATATCATTATTGAAGAATTAGAACACTCTTCAAAAGAAACAACAAAAGTATAAAGGAAAGCAAAACGAAAAAACTTACATCATCTTCAACAATAGAATCTAACATGGCCACATATTCATGGGCCTTTTTCAAACTGCGGTTGTTCATCGACGCTTTATTAACACTCCTAATCCATCCCAAAAAAGTGGAAACTCTACTGGTCTTATTGTATTTTGATGTTCAAGCGTATATTTTTGGATTGGCTTAAACCTTTCAAAAGTAAAAACTTGTAAAAGTAAAGAAGTTATAGAGAAAAATAACAATAAAGAAGAACAAACAAAATAAAATAAGTGATAAATGAAATAAATCTTACCATTAATATAAATGCGAATCTACTCACAGCTGAGAGATTTTTTTTCCAATGAAGCAATTAGGTTGGCGAAGGTTGCACAACCCCAAGCGTATTTATTTACATATTCTAAATTAAGAAGTCAAAGATACATGGGAGAAACCCTATTTTGAGAAGAAAGATTTACAATAATACTTCATACTATATACAATAAATAAGCTTTTGTATATCTAATTACAGTTGCGTCATTAGAATCCAATGGGAGATTCTGATAATGCTCTCTAAGACGGACAAATCTTATTTGTTTACTTTTACCCCTGACTAACAACTCTATCTCCCGTATCTCAGGGCCTAAATGTTCTTTTATAAGATTATTAATATTAGCAGTTTCATATTCTGAAACTGGAAATTCATCGATCGGTAGTCCCGTGATGTAAAAACATCTTCTAAACCTAAATAAATTCTATGATTATTAATACAAAAACAATGTTCTTCACGGTCATAAAAATGACAAAGTGCATTTACTAATTGTACACTTTGTTTCACCTCCGCAGCACTTGCTGTATTTTTTATGTCTAAGAACCACTTAAAACAAGTGGTTCTCACTTTCTCCGCCACTCTGGGATGGACATCCCAATCCATGATTGCATTGAGATCTTGGGCAACGACCCAGTTTTTTATGTTTGCCACTACTGATGTATCTAACACACAAGAATGGAGAAAAAAAATCAGCATAATCACCACAATTTCACTATCACGAGCATAAAAATTTGGAATCAAACAACCAGGTTTGAACATGAACTCACAACAGAGACACATTAATATGTTGAAACTGGCTTAAAATTAATAGTGTTAAGAAAATCGAAGACCATCTTGATACCTTTAATAATATCATAATTAGATAGCTTCCAAAAAAAAAAAAATGAAAACACTAGAATTGAAAATCAAACTTAAGAAAATAAAAAATACTGCAATTAAATAACAGTAAACACAAAAATAACAGAAATTACTCTTCAAACCTATATATAGAATTTGAGCATCATCGATGAATTCAGCTTGTGAGCGCAAAGGCGATGCTTTTCCAGCGTATGGGCACTAGTTTTTCTGCCAATCAATGATTGACTGGATTCAATCAGTGCAATCAGTCAATCAATGATTGACTGTATTTTAGTTTCTAGATAGCTTCTAATTATGATGGTGCATAAAAGTACATAAAGATAAATGTTATTCATCCCCAAAAACAAAAAAGAAATACAATAAAAAGGTAAAATAGCTAAATGAGTAAGTGAACCACTAAACTTCAAATTAGTTTTCACGTATCACCAGAAACTGGGTTACAGGTTTATAACTGGGTTAATGGATAATTAAAAAAAATAAATAAGTGAACGAGTGCTGAAATGAAAAGTACCAAAATGGCCACGGGGTGCACATGTCTTATTGGGTTAAAGAATTAAAGAATTAAAGAATTAAAAAAATAGACTTGCCCCTAAAATTCGCGAAAGTTACCTTCTAAGCGAGGGTTGTAAAGAATCTGTGAGCGAGCGTTAAGAAATCTGAGCGAGAGCGAGGTTGTGAGGTTTGGAAAGAAATATGAGCGAGAAACTATTGGGTTTCTCTTCTGAGCGAGTGTTGAGAAATTTGAGCGAGAGCGAGAAATCTAAGCGAGAGCGAGGTTTGGAGAGAAATATGAGCGAGAGACCGGCAATGGGTTTCTACAAAATTTTAAGTTTTGGTTCTAGCTATGGAGTTGGAGGGAAAGTCTAGCACTGTAAAAACTTTTGGTTAAAGTAAAGCGTGTTCACATTTATAATAACTGAATTACTTACCAAGTAATCTAAATAAAGACATATTTATTTAATAAAATAAAACGTGGGTTATTTTTTTAAAACATAGTGCAGAATTGAACTATTTTGCTAAATTACCCGTATTAATTTTTATATCTATATATAATTACCTAATATTTATTATTTAACATGTGCTTTTTGCTACTTATAAAAATATATATTATTTGAAATTGCATCGTACTCTCTTAAAATATGGTTTTGTTGACTGTCTGTATTTCATAATTTAACTTCACATTGTAAACATAAAGATCAAGGAACAAAAATACTAAAAACCTTTTAAAGTTATTTATTAAAATTTTGACAGTGCAATCAATCAATTAATATAAACTAATACAAGCAGTTGAATTTGTATGATCAAAAGCACATCAGTTGAATCTCTCTCTCAAGTATGTTCTGTCTACATATACATATATCGTGTGTGTATATACATACACAATATGTGTATTCAATGTCGTTTTTTACTTTCTATGTTTCATTTTCTCTCTTTCTACTTTTTTGAGAAAATTTCTCTTTATCCAAACAGCTCAACTTTGTTATTCTGATTTTAATAACTCAAAAAAAAAAAAAGTTGTTTAATTCTGATTGTAATAACAAAAAAAAAAGTTGTTTAAACGACATGAGTAGTTGTTTAAACGACATGTAGTTTATAATGCACTTGTAACTTATACCTGTAAAGAATGTTGAAATTTCATCTAGTTTATAAATGCATACTTAACACACGCCTGTAAAATTATACAGAAAACCTCGACTTATCACTCACTCTATTGACATTTATCATAATGTTCCCAACATCTCCTTGATATTCGCATGTTTTTATAACATAAATTATGAGCCACGTGCATCGCACGCGCGTGCAATACAAAATGCCCAGTCTCGGAGGCAAGTCCAAGCGCTCATCAAATGCTCTCCCTCCACCAAATTTTCCCTTCAATCAGGTCTTCGAGTAAACTAGAATGTCGTCAATGAAGACTATCACAAACTGGTCCAGATACGGTCGGTCGGGGTATTGCATGAAAGCGGTATGGGCATTTGTCAACTCAAAAGGCATTATTAGAAATTCAATGAAGGCTATCACAAACTGGTCTAGATACGGCCAGAAGACTCGGTTTATCAAATCCATGAAAGCGGTAGGAGCATTTGTCAACCCAAAAGGCATTACTAGAAATTCAAAATGCCCATACTGAGTTCTGAAGTTTGTTTTCGGAATATCCTCCTCCCTAATCTTCAACTGATGGTACCTGGATCTCAAGTGATTTTAGAGTAATATCGTGATTCTCCCAACTGATCGAACAACTCATCGGTCCTTGGCAATGGGTACTTATTTTTCACGATAACTCTATTCAACTATCAGTAGTCGATACACAACCGAAGAGATCCATCGTGCTTCTTCGCGAATAGAGCAGGTGCACCCCACGGGGAAGTACTGTTCCTAATACATCCCTTTTCCGCTAACTCACCAAGTTGCTTCTTTAACTTTTTCATCTCTGCAGGCGCCATTTAGTACGGAGCAATAGATTGGCGTCGTCCCCGGAAGCAAATCGATACAAGAGTCTAAATCCTTCCCTCTAAACAATCAAGTTTAATTATATACAATTGTACCATACTAGTGTGCCTTAACTTAGAAATGAAAGTTTATAAACAAACTTTTTAATCAATTCATGATTTTTGAGAATTGGGATTCAACCAAGATAAATGAAATGGAAATGAAGATTAACGTGGTTAATCCACTCACTTTAAGTTCCCAAATGAAATTAGGTTGGGTCTAATGTAAAACATACAAAAATTTTCTTGTTAAACATATTCTAATCGTTTTTTTTTTTTTGAAATTTTATAGAATTCTATTCATTTTTTTATAGGTGTCAAAATTCTACTCATTTTTTATAGTTTTGTCAAATGAAATTTCCCTTTAACACCTCAATAAAAAAAAAAATGTTGCCAGCTGGTCCACACAAATTTCCTCAGCTGGTCTTCTAAACAAAATTTCTGTCTCGTACACTTTCAAACAAGATTATCATATAGTATTGGAGTCGATCTTCCCACAACTTATTGTAAGCAGTGTAACTTTCATTGTAATTTCTCCAATCCTTAGTTTTGTGTTGGCTTTGTTGGATTGGCTTCTTACGTATAACATGAGGCAAAACACATTAATATGAATAAAATGGGCCATGACCACTAAATAGAGTCAGGCCCCGTTCATTTCGCTGATTCGAGTTTTTCTACAGTAAAAAGCTCTCACAAACAATTACATCTAACTTTTTTACTACAGTAAAAACTCTCACATAAAGTCACATCTCAACTCGAATTAAAAACTCGAATCAGCGAATTAAACGAGCCCTCAATTTCGACGGACATAATTAAAAATGGTGTTCGTCACATTTTATAAAAACGATGCTCGAGTTAATCACAAATAGGCACCTTTTTGCTTTAAAATAAAATTGTCCATTACCCAAAATTAAACAGGATCATCTCTATGGTAGATCGTGTATAAATTACGGTAGTCCCTTTCTAAACAAAAGCACTCCTGCGCTATTGAGACTTTTCCCGCGTCTATGCTTGAATTGGAAAGCGCCCTTGCGCTATCCAATCGAAAGGGCACGGAAACTTCCGTATTAGAGGCCCTTTCAACATGCTTTACAGCTATAAGGTATGTAAAACCAGTCGCCGCTCCGAAGTTCGTCCCCTCTCTCTCCATCGAAGAAACCCGTCGTCCCCAGTCTCCGTCTCCGAAAACCCAAGTAATATTAGGTTTCAATTTCAGAAATCAATGACAAAATTTGCTACGTTGCTTGTTCATTGCCTGAAATTAGGTGTATTCTTGTTAGATTATTAACAATTCTGTTGTAAATGAAAGTTCAAGATCTCATTCTGAGCATTCTCTAGAAAGTTTACAATTCTGTTTCAGTGTTTTAATCAATGATTGAGTCAAGCTAAATTGCAGTTTTTTGTAATTTTTTTGTCAATCACATCTATGTGTTGTCCTTATTTTGGTTAGCATTAAGTAGATAATTTTGACCTGTAAACGATGATGCTCATATGCTCCACATGCTTTACAGCTTTACTACAAGTACGTTTTGTCAAGGGATTCTAATGAATGCTATCTATGTTGGCAGACAATGGGACTCCTACCGAAAGTTTTGGAAAGTGGAATGCACTTAAACAATTTTCTCTCTTGGAAGGTCGATCCAAGAGTGGCTTTGTTAGTGGAGAAGACTTGTTTTAGGTCATTTTTCCATTTGAAAGAGTGCATTTCTCATGAAAATAAATCGTTAAGACAAAATTTGCGGTTTTTGATTGCATTAGTTCTTAAATACGATGTTGAGAGCTCGTGTTTTTCATTTACTAGTGAAGAAGAGGTTTTCTATCTTGACATTGGCCTTGAGAATATATTGTACATAACAGGGTTTCCAATTGATGGGAGCAAGTGTCAGGAAAAGAGTATAAAAGCAGTATTGGAGTAATAAGAGAACATTTAAATTTAGAAGAGTCCGAAGCTAGAGCGCTGCTCCAAATTAAAAATGGAAAGGAAACATTTATGATTGATGTAAACAAATTGAAGGGTAAATTTGAAAAAGTCCCTGAAGATGCCAATGAATAAAAAATAGAGGCGTTTGCGAAGGCTTACCTACTGTATTTGTTGGGACAAGTAATTTTGGCCAATAGTTCAAGGACCATAGCGCCAATGTATTTACCACTTCTAAATTTGGAGGAAATAGATGACTATGTTTGGGGGGCCGCAACACTTGGAACCCTCAAATGTGCAATGAGAAATGCGGTGGAAGGTTGTGAGAGCGAAAAATCCAAGATGTTGGAAGGTTTTTCTTTAGCTCTAATGGTAAGGTCTTTACATAGTAATAAGAATTACTCATTTCAATTGATAGTATATTTATTATGTTCATATATGATTTGCATTTTCTTTTGTAGGTATTTGCATTAGAGCGATTTCCATCTTTCTGAGGATTGGTTCCTAAGCCAACCGAGTTTCCATAAATTTTAGGATGGATGAAAACGATAAAAGAAAAATCAACTAAGAATGAACCCTCTGTTGCCGAATTCATCCCTTTCTTCTCTCAGATAAAGGTGGACGATGTAAGTTCCTCCTTTTTTGTATTCCTTGCCTCTCTCTTTTTTTTTTCCTCCTTGGCTGAAAATAGTGTCGATGAAATGGAAATAGAACTAACTACTTTGCTATATTTTTAAATTGGTACAGATTGATTGGCTGCCATATTGTGAGCCCAACCGTATGGTTACGTTACCTGCAAAACACTGTTCTCAACTATAGATCAAATATGCTCGTGTGCCATGCATTTGTTTTCAACACATAGCATACTACCGTGCAGATTTATGCCATTGACAGTTGGATTTGGAGAGAAAGGATAAAGTAAAATTAAAAAGTACAACTAATGTGAAGTTAATGAGCTTGAGCAGGCATAAGGATAAAGATTGGAGAACGCATACAAATGGGTATACTAAGGCCAATACGGAGTGGAAAGATAGAAATAAATATCTAGTTAAAAAAGGTGTTGATGTTGGGCAGCTTTTAAATTATAGTGATGATGACCTAGCTCCAGATTTTGACCACTATGATGTTAAACAGGTATGTGCCCTTTTCTTGCTTTCATGTTGTAAAGAATGCGAATGCCCTTTTCTTTTGTTCATTTCTCTTTCTTGGTGTAATGGATGCGAATCTTGCATGCTAACCTGACCGTCGCTTCAAATGAAGAATCGAGGGAAAAAGAGGAAATTTGGAACTAGTGTCAACATAGAAGAGAATGAGAGTGAATGTTATGCTAAGAAAGGGCAGAAGAAGCTCCTTATCCTTGACATGAATGGAATTTTGGTCCACATTGTTCGTTGCTATATTACTTCTCATTTTGCTCAATTTGATAAAGAGTTTAAGGATAAAAAGGGTGAAATTGATATTTCAATTTTCTTTGCAATCATTATTATGATAATATCTAATAATATACTTTTGTTGCTATTTATTTATTTTTTTAAGGTCTCATACATTAATAGGACTTTATTATTTCTTTTCAGTTTACAAGAGGCCACATTGTGACGAATTTCTAGAGTTTTGCCTCCAGAAATTTGATGTTGCTATATGGTCATCAAGAACTAAGTAATACTCAACTCAAGAGCTTTTTTCATTTTATATACGTAAAATATGTGCACTTTTATATATTATGTACTTCATTTTGCAGGAATAATTTGCAAATGGTGGTTGATATGTTTCATGATCTTCAAACCAAGTTGATTTTTTGTTGGGTAAATTTTTCTGAACCATCTTAAGGAATTTTCTTTGACTATCCCTATCTCTTTTTGGTTTTTTGGGCAAATTTTTGTTCTGATTTGTTTACATGATTTCTCTAGAGCCAGGAGGAATGCAAAAACATTTCAAGAATTGGAAAACCAGTATTCATCAAGCAACTTGCGAAAGTGTGGGAAAAATACGCACAATATAATGAAACCAACACATTGCTTGTGGACGATAGTCCATATAAAGCGATCTGCAACCCGGTGAGTTTTGTTTTTAATTCACATTTTGTGAGCCATACATGGTGAAGCGATGCTTACCACAATTAAAAAAAAAAACATATAGATGCTTATAACAACTTTAATGATGATTGTTGTGATTGATTATTTAGGCCAACACTGGAATCTTTCCTTTGAGTTGTGACTGTGCAAGATTTGATGACAACTCACTTGGTTAGTTATTGATAATGGAGTTAAAATACTTGGTTTGTTATGGAATTAAAATATTTTGGCTTAAATCATTCTTGGTGCCTTGTTGTTTTACTACAGGACTTGGAGGCGACATTCAAATGTATCTAGATCGCTTAGCAATGACAAACAATGTGCAAGAGTTTGTAAAAAAGAATCCATTTGGTAAACTCCCCATTACACAGACTCATGTGGAATGGAACCACTATCAGGATCTTTTGAAGTAGTATACAGAGGAGAAGGCGGTTGAGACACTAAATGTTATCACCTCTGCTCAGCCAATGCAAACTACCCTCAATCATGCATACATCCACAAAATCTGTTGAAAAGGATATTGGTGCTAATTATGATGAATGTATTATTTTGTTCTTTGACATCTCTGAAAAAGCTAATCTACAAGAACAATATACCAATTACCCAAAATTAAACAGCGTCTACTATCTGGTAGACTGTATAAATTACGGTAACCCTTGTAAAACTTTAGGTTGACCCCGTTTAACTTTGGTAGTTATGGCCCATTTTTTGCTTTAAAGTCAAAATAAGTCCATATCCATTTTTAACTGCAATCATTCAATGATTGATTGTATTCAATCATTAATTGAATTTAAAACTTTGTTTGATTGTTAGTAGATGCAGCACCCTCTTAAGCTCTTTCTTAATAGTAGGAAAAGGATATTGCATGTTTCATCCATTTTGACTAAACACTCTCATATCCACCCACATTATTTAGGAAAAGGATATTGCATGTTTCATCCATTTTGACCAAACACTCTCATATCCACCCACATCATTTGAGAATTATAAATTCAAAACTTTGTTTGATTGTTAGTAGATGCAACACCACCTTGAGCTCTTTTTTAATATTAGAAAAAGATGCACGTTTCATCTAGTTTGAGTAAACTCTCACGCAGTTATAATCTTATAACTACATTGAGATAGCCATCCTAATGATTTAAAATTATAAATTCAAAATTTTGTTTGATTTCTAGTAGATATAGCACCTCCACCCCTTGAGCTCTTTTTTAATATTAGGAAAAAGATATTGCACGTTTCATCCATTTTGCCCAAACACTCTCATAGCCACCCACATAATTTGAGAGCTATAAATTCAAAACTATATTTGATTACTAGTAGATGCAACACCCCCATAAGCTCTTTTTTAATAGTAGCAACAGGTGCACGTTTCATCCAGTGTGAGTAAACACTCTCACGCAGTTATAATCCTGTAACTGCGTTGAGATGACCACCCCAATCATTTGAGACTATAAATTCAAAAATTTGTTTGATTTCTAGTAGATACAGCACCCCCACCCCTTTGAGCTCTTTTTTAATATTAGGTAAAGGATATTGCACGTTTCATCCATTTTGCCAAACACGCTCATAGCCACCCACATCATTTGAGAGCTATAAATTTAAAACTTTGTTTGATTACTAGTAGATGCAACACCCTCTTGAGCTCTTTTTTAATAGTAGGAAAATGTGCACGTTTCATCCAGTGTGAGTAAACACTCTCACGCAGTTAAAATCCTGTAACTGCGTTGAGATGGCCACCTCAATCATCTGAGACTATAAATTCAAAAATTTGTTTGATTTCTAGTAGATACAGCACCCCCACCCCTTTGAGCTCTTTTTTAATATTAGGTAAAGGATATTGCACGTTTCATCCATTTTGCCAAACACGCTCATAGCCACCCACATCATTTGAGAGCTATAAATTTAAAACTTTGTTTGATTACTAGTAGATGCAACACCCTCTTGAGCTCTTTTTTAATAGTAGGAAAAAGGTGCATGTTTCATCCAGTGTGAGAAAACACTTTGACACAGTTACAATCCTGTAACTACGTTGAGATGTCCACCCCAATTATTTGAGACTATAAATTCAAAATTATGTTTGATTTCTAGTAGATACAGCACACCCACCCCTTGAGCTGTTTTTTAATGTTAGGAAAAGGATATTGCAAGTTTCATCCATTTTGAACAAACACTCTCATAGCCACCCACATCATTTGAGAGCTATAAATTCAAAACTTTGTTTGATTACTAGTAGATGCAACACCCCTTGAGCTCTTTTTTAATAGTAGGAAAATGTGCACGTTTCATCTAGTGTGAGGAAAGACTCTCACGTAGTTACAATCCTGTAACTACGTTGAAATAGCCACCGTAACCATTTGAGACTACAAATTTAAAAATTTGTTTGATTTCTAGTAGATACAACACCACCCCATTGAGCTCTTTTTTAACATTAGGAAAAGGATATTGCAGGTTTTCGTCCATTTTGACCAAACACTCTTATAGCCACCCACATCATTTGAGAGCTTAAAATTCAAGACTTCGTTTGATTGCTAGTAGATGCAACACCGCTTGAGCTCTTTTTTAATAGTAGGAAAAGGTGCACGTTTCATCCAGTGCGAGGAAAGACTCTCCCACAGTTACAATCTTGTAACTACGTTGAGATAACTACAAAATTTGTTTGATTTCTAGTAGATACACCACCCCCACCTCCTTGAGCTAATATTAGGAAAAGATATTGCACGTTTCATCCATTTTGACCAAACACTCTCATAGCCACGCACATCATTTGAGAGCTATAAATTTAAAACATTGTTTGATTGCTAGTAGATGCAACACCCCCTTGAGTCCTTTTTTAATAACAGAAAAAGGTGCACGTTTGATCCAATGTGAGTAAACACTCACACGCTGTTACAATCCAGTAACTACGTTCAGATGACTTGAGACTATAAATTCAAAAATTTGTTTGATTTCTAGTTGATACAGCACCCCCACCGCCTTGAGCTCCTTTTTAATATTAGGAAAAAGATGTTGCATGTTTCATCCATTTTGACCAAACACTCTCATAGCCACCCACATAATTTGAGAGGTATAAATTCGAAACTTCAAAAGTTTGTTTGATTGCTAGTTGATGCAACACCCCCTTGAGCACTTTTTTAAAAGTAGAAAAAGGTGCATGTTGGATTGAGTGTGAGTAAACACTCTTACGCAGTTACAATCCAGTAACTATGTTGAGATGGCCAGCAAAATAATTTGAGACTATAAATTCAAAATTTTATTTTATTTCTAGTAGATACAGCACCCCCACAATCCTTGAGCTCTTTTCTAATGTTAGGAAAAGGATATAGCACGTTTCATCAATTTTTACCAAACACTCTCATAGCCACCCCCATCATTTGCGAGCTATAAATTCAAAACTTTGTTTGACTGCTAGTAGATGCAACACCCCCCTGAGCTTTGTTTTAATAATAGGAAAAGGTGTACGTTTCATCCAGTGTGAATAAACACTTTCACTCAGTTACAAAACTGTAACTACGTTGATATGGCCACCCCAATCATTTGAGACTATAAATTAAAAAATTTATTTGATTTCTAGTAGATACAACACCCCCACCCCCTAGAGCTCTTTTTTAATATTAGGAAAATGATATTGCATGTTTCATCTATTTTGACCAAACACTCTCATAGCCACCCACATCATTTGAGAACTATAAATTCAAAACTTTGTTGGATTGCTAGTAGATGCAACACCCCTTTGAGCTCTTTTTTAATATTAGAAAAAGATGCACGTTTCATCTAGTTTGAGTAAACTCTCACGCAGTTATAATCTTATAACTACATTGAGATGGCCATCCTAATGATTTAAAACTATAAATTCAAAATTTTGTTCGATTTCTAGTAGATATAGCACCTCCACCCCTTGAGCTCTTTTTTAATATTAGGAAAAAGATATTGCATGTTTCATCCATTTTGCCCAAACACTCTCAGAGCCACCCACAACATTTGAGAGCTACAAATTCAAAACTATGTTTGATTACTAGTAGATGCAACACCCCCATGAGCTCTTTTTTAATAGTAGCAAAAGGTGCACGTTTCATCCAGTGTGAGTAAACACTCTCACATAGTTACAATCCTGTAAATGTGTTGAGATGGCCACCCCAATCATTTGAGACTATAAATTCAAAAATTTGTTTGATTTCTAATAGATACAACACCCCCACCCCCTTGAGCTCTTTTTTAATATTAGGCGAAGGATATTGCACGTTTCATCCATTTTGCCAAACACGCTCATAGCCACCCACATCATTTGAGAGCTACAAATTTAAAACTTTGTTTGATTACTAGTAGATGCAACACCCCCATGAGCTCTTTTTTAATAGTAGCAAAAGGTGCACGTTTCATCCAGTGTGAGTAAACACTCTCACGCAGTTAAAATCCTGTAACTGCGTTGAGATGGCCACCCCAATCATCTGAGACTATAATTCAAAAATTTGTTTGATTTCTAGTAGATACAGCACCCCCACCCCCTTGAGCTCTTTTTTAATATTAGGCAAAGGATATTGCACGTTTCATCCATTTTGCCAAACACGCTCATAGCCACCCACATCATTTGAGAGCTACAAATTTAAAACTTTGTTTGATTACTAGTAGATGCAACACCCTCTTGAGCTCTTTTTTAATAGTAGGAAAAAGGGGCATGTTTCATCCAGTGTCAGAAAACACTTTGACACAGTTACAATCCTGTAACTACGTTGAGATGTCCACCCCAATTATTTGAGACTATAAATTCAAAATTATGTTTGATTTCTAGTAGATATAGCACCCCCACCCCTTGAGCTATTTTTTAATGTTAGGAAAAGGATATTGCACGTTTCATCCATTTTGAACAAACACTCTCATAGCCACCCACATCATTTGAGAGCTATAAATTCAAAACTTTGTTTGATTGCTAGTAGATGCAACACCCCCTTGCGCTCTTTTTGAATAGTAAGAAAAGGTGCACGTTTCATCTAGTGTGAGGAAAGACTCTCACGTAGTTACAATCCTGTAACTACGTTGAAATGGCCACCCTAACCATTTGAGACTACAAATTCAAAAATTTGTTTGATTTCTAGTAGATACAACACCCCCACCCCATTGAGCTCTTTTTTAACATTAGGAAAATGATATTGCAGGTTTCATCCATTTTGACCAAATACTCTCAAAGCCACCCACATCATTTAAGAGCTTAAAATTCAAAACTTCGTTTGATTGCTAGTAGATGCAACACCCCTTGAGCTCTTTTTTAATAGTTGGAAAAGGTGCACGTTTCATCCAGTGCGAGGAAAGACTCTCCCATAGTTACAATCTTGTAACTACGTTGAAAAGGTGCACGTTTCATTCAAAACTTTGTTTGATTTCTAGTAGATGCAACACCCCCACCCCTTGAGCTAATATTAGGAAAAAGATATTGCACGTTTCATCCATTTTGACCAAACACTCTCATAGCCACGCACATCATTTGAGAGCTATAAATTTA